ACCTCTGGGTTTCCTCCAGCCTGGGTTCGCCAAGGGGTTGTCCCCGGAATCCCATAGAGGTACACCACCCCCGGAGTCACCCTCTGCGTTCCTACAAAGATACGGTCACGGTCGTCACCAACCAGCAAAAAAAAAAAAGGGGGGGGGCGCTGAAACCGAGATAAGCTCGATGGGCGGCCAACCTCGCGGAGTTTGACTTCAAAGTTGTATACCGCCCTGGAAAACTAAAAACGCCAAACCAGACATCTTGTCTCGGCGTTGGGACCACGCCCTTAAAGAGGGGGGTAAGGCTCATCAAGACCCTGAAATTCTTGTTTAAGCCAGGACAACTTATAATGGGTTCTGTCCAACACCCGATCGTTATGATCAACTCAGCATGTGCAAGATCAGCCCAAATCTGCAAACTCACACCGGTGCTCCTGGATGAAATCTGGGCTCAAGCAGCCTTAGATCCAGAGTACCTCTCTTTGAAAAAAGCCATTGAGAACACCTCTGGGAATCCGGTGAACCGATACCTGACTTTAAAGGACGGACACGTCTTCTATAAGGAAAGGTGGTACATTCCAAATCATCGGGAACTGAAGCTCAAGATCCTGAGCGCCCTACATGATTCGAAGACTGCTGGTCACTTTGGACAATTCAAAACGGCAGAACGCCTTCGGGCACTGTCCTTTGCCAAAAGATGGACAACGATGTGGAAGAATACGTTCAGAGTTGCGATACATGTCAACGCGCTAAAGCCTCAAACACACAAGAAGAAAGGGATGTTGCAACCTTTAGAGGTCCTCTCTATTCCTTGGAGTTCCATTTCAATGGACTTTATCACCAAAGCAACCATCGAAGAACTTGCTCAAATCTTCCTCCGGGAGATATGGCGACTGCATGGACTTCCTGAGGAGATTATCTCCGATCAGGACTCTAGATTCGAAACATATCGTCCTCAAACTGACGGGCAAACTGAGAGAGTCAACCTAACGCTAGAACAGTATCTCAAAAAACTATTGCTTCTGTCAGCGGGACGATTGGGCAGAGTTACTCCCGCTTGCCAAGTACGCCTACAACACGGCCACCCAAGAGTCAACCAAAGCATCGCCATTCTACGCGAACTATAGGTTTCAACCAGATTCCACTTGGCCCTCACTTAAACGGAAACTAGACAACTTCGACGCGTCCAGCGCGGCACAAGCACAGCAGAAAAAATGGTATGATCAGAAACAGATGAGTGCTCCAGAACTGAAGGTTAGGGACGAGGTGATGCTGGACCGATGCAACATCTTAACCAAGTGACCCTCAAATAAGCTAGACCACCAAAAAAAAAAAAATGGGTCCCTTTGAGGTTGTCGGGAAACTTGGCGTCGCGTCCTACAGGCTGAATCTACCCACTCAGTGGAACATTCATGATATCTTCCATATATCTCTGCTGGACCCTCAACGAGCTATACTGCTTCCACCTCCGGATGAGGTTCAAGGGGAAGGCAGTTACGTTCTCAAGAAAATAGCCGATAGCCAATGACAGCAGGCTGGTCGTTGGAAGAAGTTCGTGCAATATCGGATTACCTGGGAGGGTTATCTCTCAGAAGACTCTTGGGAACCGTACAAATTGTTGTAAGGAATGGCAGACGAGCCACTCCGAGAGTTCCATGCGAAGTATCCCCGAAAATCATGGGACGAATGGTAATACAGGAAAGTGCGGGAAACCGAGACGACGGAGTGTTCTGGGATAAGCGTGGAGAAAACGAGTCTCCCCTTGTTAGGTCACACGTTTCACTTGAGGTTTCCTTTGTCAATAGAAATGGATGCAAAAAATAGAGTGTAACGGAGCCATTTCAACTGTCTGGTGTATGAGTACACACAGGGCCCGGTTACATGCTGAGAGTTATTGATAGAAGCCAGTTGCACAGTGACATGCAAGTACCGGCAGTGTGGTTAGCTACCAGCTGTCAGAGTAACTACATTCTGAGCGCTAGGAAGAGGATCTATTCATGGGAGCAATGATTGACGAGTCTATGCCTCGCCAATGATTAGAAGGCCAGCCAGAGTGAAGCTCTGAGTGCTCGGCGATCCTCTACATCCTCTGAGCATGATAAGTCCGCCGGTAGTGGCAGGGACTATGCCTGGGAAAGTCTACAATAAGTAAAGAGCTCTACAGCAATGATTAAGCTTACGCCTGAGCGGTAGCTCATTCATGCAGGTCCCGGTTGTGCGACAATCAAGACTGCAGGTGTTACAAAGGCTTTGACTAAGGGTGGTTGCCTTCGGAACCGGAAGCACCCGCTAACGCTTAGAGAGAAGCGGGGTAGCGGTGGTATTGCTTCCCTTCCGCTAGAAGGGATCACCAGAACTTAGTAAGGGAGTAGGAGCAGGGAATGGAATCCTTTGGAGTATAAGTACTCAGGATCCTTCCCGCCCAACTATCCGATTTCCTGATTTCTATCTTGCACGGCCAAATCCTTTCTCTCGGATTCTAGCGATACGAGGAAAGGCTGTCCCCGTTACATTGAGTTTGTATGGAATGATTATTAGAGCTACATTTTCTTGTATGCTCATAACGTACCATACCAAAAAGCCTAGGTTAGACTCGGGACGAGTCTACCGGAGGGAGGAGTAGTGTAACAGGGCCACAGTAGGGCTGTTACAAAAATACCTGTTCTACCAGTCAAGCCATACGGCCCTAGGTTAACCGCAGCTGGTTCTTCATCGATGGGTGAAGAGAAGGGCAGATGAGCCCCTACCTCTATTGGTATAGAGGGTAGAGATCCTGGCGAGCAAGAAGTCTTACAAGTCAAGCTAGACGACTGGACCAAAACTAGAGCAGCAGGACGAGCAGACCAAATAAGGAAGGGTAACCCCAAATAAAAGTTACCCTACCTTGGCATTCAACCTTTGAGGCGCAATAACTTTGCAGCCGATGCCCGGAAAATATGCTTTACCACGTCAGAAAGGATCCTGGCGATGCTCCGGTCCATTTGGGGTGGTTGAATGAACGCATTGCGGAGTTGAGGAAACACTGCAAAATAAACACGTTTTAGACCCCCAAAAATAACCCCCGGAGCGTCGAACCGCCGGAACCCTCCTGTTTCAGCCCGGTGCATCTTTGGGGGGAGTAAGAGTGCGACCCAAACTACCAAAGCAAACCTTTGCTTTAAAAACACCCAAATCTATTCTAAATACTCTGAATAAGCAATTGCTGTCTGGTCGGCTGTTTCCTCTAGTTCCTAGGATCCCGACCCTTTTCTTGGCAAGGATTGCGAGATTTGACTCGGACGAAAATTCGTCCGCGGTGTGGTAGCAACTCTTCTCCTCCCCCCTGATAGAAAATAGGTGGTGCCCCCAGATTATTTGAAAGGCGGACGGCCAGTGAAAAAAGGAAAGAGGTAATGAAGGAAGGGGCGCCGAACTTCCATAAAGGAACTCGGTTGCCCCAGCTTGGTTTCGGGGGGATCAGGGAGTCTTTACCAGCGAGGAGCCCCCTTAAAGTTATTAAGTTTCTAGACTACAAATAACGATCAAACAAATGAAACTCTATCTTTCCATCGAACGAGCCGAAAGGATAGCTTGTCGAATTCCTTTCTGCCTATCTACCTGATCGAAGTCACGGTCGCGCCCCTTCAAGGCACCCCCGTTACACAACGTGTCGGTGGACATGGTGCAGGTTCGACTCTATCTCGCCCATTGATGCTTTTTAACATGTAAGTATTAGTGGCTAACGATTCAGAGTGGAACTCGACCGGGCGCGAAAGTAATACGTAAACAAGGTCAAGGGAGAGCAGCACCCACTTCAGCACCCAGCCAGAATGCATCCCAGAGAGCACTCCCGGCATCCCAGAGAGCACCCCCAACACCCTCACAGTCTAGGCCCTCTGCACCTGTTTATGCTCATGAGTATACCTCTTCTACGCGCCATATCGATTTTTCCTCGATGCGCTCTCGATACGGGGAGTCGTCCCCCACTTACCGGACATATCGTTCTTCACCGCCTAGCGAGGTAATTGGCGAGAACTCTGTGAGCAGTCGTCAGATTCCTTCAAGCCAACTTCACGGTCAAGGTAGATCGCGAAGAGTCTACGAAATCGAGTACCTTTCCTCATCTAGGGGGGGGACGAGAGTACTCCGATGCCGGAAAGCGAGGGTATTTTGATTCCGGGAAGCGAGGTTAGTATTCCGGAGGACACTCACGACGTCTTTGAGAACACTGGCGACATTCCTTCGAGCCAATTGACTCAGAGGTCTGTGGTCCCTAACTCTAGGAGTGCAAATGTGCTGTCAGTGCAGGCTCAGAGGATTGAGAAGGAGTGTAGCGTGTTAATCGGGGAGCATACTCTTCTACATGAGCCCTTTCCACCTGCAGCAAGACTTTCGGTACTGGTAGTGAGCATGTGGGCAACTGCTAGTCGCCGAGTGCGGTGTAGAGTAGACCTTGATGAGGTCGTTATTAAACAGGTGAGTGCCCCCAAAAGGATTACGAGTGCTCTGGAAGCATAATTGAGAATGATAGGTCAGAAGTCTGCACTCCCGTGTCCGTTCCCACTTGATGCACGAGGTGAAAGGGCGCCTGGCGGACTCTACGATATACGGGCTTGGAAATTTTGTGGGGCCTGAGGCGAGGGCGGCTCAAGTGGAATACCTTTTGAAGAATGATCGTTTCTTGAGCCCCCAACAGCATTACGAGGTATGATGCCAGTGGATGCCCAGAGAGCACTCGGGATAGCCGGTAACAGATTCTAGACCTACCGACTGCGCTTCCTGGCTCCGGAAATTATCGATATATTGTATTTTAAATACTTCGATGGGGTAAGAATGCGAGGGGTTAGGGATCCCGAATTTCTAGAGCGGATAACCCCTACCCTTATTTGCCTGATATCGACGGCGATCTGGCACGGCATTCGGGCGTGGTCAACAGGGAGTTACGTGAAGCCTGATAATTTTCAGTCGCAGAATGAGAGTGTTGTGAGTAAGTATGGCCCGATGCCCTCATTGATATGGCGAGTGCCTTGGGAGCAATGACGGATGCTCCTAGGGCTATACGGGATTGCCAAGCTGACATCCAAACACGAGTAGAAACGTTCAACAGCATGAGCAACACTTGGAAGGGGAGAAGTAAACAGAACCAGGAGGCAACCTTGGAGGTAATCAAAGATAACCTTCGAGAAAAGGTATGATACTTCTAGATGCCGGTAATGCGAGTGGTATTCTAAATGCTAACCCTAATAGATACGAGATAAAAAAGGGGTAACGATTGAGATTATACCAGAGGAGGGTTTTAGCGAGGACGATGAAGCTCTGGCTGCGGATCTTGCCGCATTCCGAGATGCTCGGAGAACACCCACGAGTGCTCCAGGAGGTCGGGTTGATTCCGACAGCGCCCAGGACGAAGTGATTAATGCCCGACTTCGCGGCATTGACACCGAAGAGGAGGGGGAGGAGGAAGAAGAAGAGCTGGAATTACCTGTAGCGGGGGATTACGAAGGGGGGGGGAGGAGGATGTGTAGAACAATCACGAGTGCTAAGGGAGATAGTGGGGGATTTCTTCTGATTCGTATATTGTATTAGGGTTAGTTAGGGTGTTAAATGGCGTATTGTATTTAGTATTAGGCGGAGGATCACGGTGTTGAATACACCAATTCTCAAAGTGCAGTCGCGAGTGCTCTGGAGACAGTAGAGATCGTCGTGCGAGTGATGTTTTTGTAATCTCATGGGGGAATTGTGAATACCAGAGGCCGGAACGGCGGAGAGGTGTATGCCTAGAGAGAACGGGGCGCCGACATGTAGGAATCGGTACGTCGGGCATGAGCCAGATTTCAAAGCACCCCATCCGGCAACGTCAGGGGGAGTCAGGGCAATCATTCTATCCCCAGAGCCCGCTGGAGCAGTGAAGAGTGCTCCAGGAGCAGTCAGGATATCCAACCATGCAACTGGCGTTCTCTGGCGGGTAGAGTGACGTCCTAGTTACACCGGGCGCTATTATTTAGTGTCGGGGCCCGTTGTGCGGACTAGTGTGCGTTGGGGCGGAATAATGTGCGCCAGACCTCGCCAGGAGCACTGGCGGTATCTCTGGAGAGGTAGTTTACCTACCGAGCGCCCTGAGCGCCCTGAGCGCCCCGGGCGTCTGGCGAAGGCTACAGGTTTGCTGATGTACCCGAACTACTTCATCGAAGAAGATCGATTACCACTGGCATCTGCTAACCCTAGTGAATCTTTGTTGATAACACAGCTTGCGCTGGGGCCCATATCACTGGTAGACTAAGGAGATTCCTACTCGACATTAACTGAAAACCTTTTGGAGACTTCTGCCTTCATAGCTGTTGGCCGAACTCTGAGCTCTGCATAGTGTACTCTTATGGTCTGGTATGCATCCCTCGCACATTGCTTCCATATATAGATACTCTTACTATTACCCAGAATGGAGTTATTCTAACAGTTGATAGCTAGCTACTCTGTCAGTACTTGAATGTCACTCTTAAACTAGCTTCCAAAAATAGCTCTCAAAATGTTACCAGTCCCTGTATGTACACATACATGAAACAGTTGAAGTGTCTCTATTACAGGTTGGACCCTGGCCAAGTGGAGGATTTCGTCTGCTATTACCACGTTATTTCTTCATGTTCGAGTGAAGAACTTCTTTTTGTCTTTCTCTTCTATTTTTCTTTCCCACTTCCTGTTTCTCTCTTTTCCATTTATTCAGGGTTTGTTCAGACTAGACCTCAATTTCCTTCATTTCTCTACTACGATTTGGCCGAGGCATGTGTGTTTCTTTCTTATAATTCAACCCCACCGTGACGTTCGGGCGCAAGCAATAATAATTATAAATACAATATACAAAATAGATTCATGTCCTCAATAGCTTACAATGTAGAGGCCTTGCAGTTGTTAGCTAACTACACTGCCGGTACCATCATTCCATAAGCTACTAGTTTTCTCTGATATCGTTCAGCACGTAACGGGCCCTGTGTGTACTCATACACAAGACAGCTGAAATGGCTCCGTTACAACTGCTTCTCAATACAGACAAAGGAATGGGAACATATGTTTACTTTGAAATTGACAAATGACCTTACTGTACCTTCCTTTTCGTTTTACAAAGAGATGGACTTCGCATTTGGATTCCTTGCTCAATTTAGGTCTTAGAACAATCTATGAACTCATGTAACGATTGGGTGGTTGATTTCTATACCCGCCTCGTGAATGTACTTGCAGGGGGATTGGTCGAGGATGATAGGATATCACTCTCTATCTTATGACTATCCCTTAGACACATGAATGCATTAGCGTGACCTACCTTAGAAACGATTTACTGTAATAAAGCAGCAACTTGTGAAGTTTTTGGTATCTCTGAACTGTATTCGAAAGACCGATAAATGCAGCAAACTGCTTACCCGGACCTTTTCTCAGCCAAATTTGAGAATACATGACCGCCAACCCGCCCTAATGCATGAGAGAGATTCTCCAAGTGTCTTATGTCCAAGGGATACTTCAAGGTGTTACTAAGCGCAGCGCAGGTGACCTAGATCGTCACACGAATCCCTGACTAAGTGATAATATCTGGTCACCTGACTGTATGATCATCGCGTCTGCCCTTCCGTGGACTTCAAGCCCTTCACTCCCCAATACTACTGATTTATTGAGAACAGTACCTGAGGCTCCTAAGTTCTTTTGCTATTTTACTCACCTGAAGACCACCACCCCTCTCCAACCCCTTTCTCACTTACTTGACCATACATGACATATCGAACCCAAATCCTTCAATCGTAACTCACCGATCCATTCCAAATATTTTGAGCACTCCCAAACTCTGTCCTTATCAGCATGCCGGCTCGTTCCTTACCTAGGAAACGCCGGCTGGTAATCGACTCCTCTGAAGATCAGCCTGCATCCCGGCAACTGAAGTCTCCACGAAGATCTTCTCCTCCGGCATCCCGCACAAAGCGCTCGGTCCCCAACACGGCCCATGGCTCCTCTCAAGTCTTGAATCGTAGAGCGCTGTTCTCATCTCAGTCCAAACGAGAAACACCCAGATCAACTCAAGCTAGCTCGATAAACAACAAGACTACTGAGAACCCTAAACTTAAACAAATACAATCCCCTCTAAGTGATGTCTCCGCGAAGACTAAACCGCTTCAATCTCTATTGTCCTCTTCATCAAACCCACCGACTAGATTACTACCTTCCTCTCAACACGAGGATCTCAATGACCTGATCGAAGATTGTTTTTCTGACACCGATACAGCATTAGGCAATGTAGGCGACACTGAAGTGTCGAGGAGGGGCACCACTTCCCAGAGAACCCAACCCACATCAGAAACCAAAGGTCACAGTCGTGAGCCATCCATAGGCACCGAAGGTCTTCGATCTAAGCAACGAAGGGAGGCCCCGGGTGCTAGCAGAGGAGGCATTCGAGAACTAAAAAATACCAAAACTCTGAATATAACCCCACTTAGCGTTGTCAAGACCAAAACTGTTGGCATTCATACCGTTGGTGCAGCAGCCCTTCTACCATCAGCAGTACTGGTGCTAATCGTAAACATGCAGCGATTAATCCTCGTCCTTGGCCGGAACGCTTTGCACCACAGTCGGCCGATAATCTTGCTGTAAACCCAAGGAAGGTTTCTGAAGTTCGATCATGGCTTAGCCATGTATTTGATGGCTTTTCTAGACAGAGATTGTTAGTACTGAAGGGCTCAGCGGGTGTTGGGAAGACTGCCACGATCAACGCCTTATCAAAGGAGCTGGGATTCACAGTGCTGGAATGGGGCAATCCTAGCAATGCCGTTCGCTATCGAGAAGAGGGAGAATTCGGCGTAAGACTGACAGGTATTTTCGAGGAATTTGTAGGAAGGGCATCAAAATTCGGAAGCCTGGAGTTAGTTTCAACCTCGTCAAGCTTTACTGGAACCGAACCGGAAAAGCAATCGCTTCCTAATGGCGATATCAAAAGGGTCATATTAATTGAAGATTTTCCAAACACGCTTTTTACATCCTCTCAAGCACCTTTGGCTTCCTTTAGGCACTCGATCAAGTCATTTCTTGCTGCCCCTGTTCCAGCGCATGCTGCACTACCTCCTTTGATACTTGTAATATCCGAAAGTGCCACTGTTGCCGGACCTGGTGCCTTTACTGCCCATCGTCTATTATCCCCCGAAATCCTTCGCCATCCGCTTGTCACCTCTATCGCCTTCAACAAAATTGCTCCTACATTTATGCTCAAAGCTCTCTCCAACGTATTAACTCAAGAATCATTTGACTCTGGACGCAAGCTTCGACCTAGCAAGCCCTTAATGCAGGCATTGGCAACTAGTGGAGACGTCAGAAGTGCAATCATGAGCCTAGAATTCCTGGCAATAAATGGAGAATTAGGTGCATTTTCTGAGGAGGTGACATTTAGGTCCAAGCACAGACAAAAGCTGGGGGATGGTGATCTCACAGATCTTGAGCGAAGAATATTGACGGGCGTTACTCAGAGAGAATCAAGTTTTGGGATTTTTCATGCTGTTGGGAAAGTAGTTCATAATAAGAGTAAGTAAGGATTTGTAATGTTATCAATATCCACGACCCCAGGCTAATAGGTTAGCTAGGATATGGAGACGACACGGAGGATGTTTACGTCGCACCTCCGCCAAAACCATTTTTGAATATTCATCCATACAACCCCAGAGCCAGTAGAGTAGACATCAACAATTTAATTGACGAAGCGGGTACCGATCCTCAGACTTTGATATCTGCCCTACACGAGAACTATCTCGGTTCTTGCAATTTTCTTGGCGGCTTTTCACGACAGGCCCACTCTCTCGAAGATCTTCTCGACTGTGTCAACCACTGCATAGGGGATTTAAGTGACAGTGATATTTTAACATCATCGCGACCATATCACAAGAATCTCGGTGCGTGGGGTGCGAGTGGTAACCATGAAGCATTTGACGGCTTTGTAGGTACTACGGGGATAAGACAAGACGACATCTCCTTCCAGGTCGCAGTTCGAGGCCTAACTATTGCATTACCATCACCTGTCAAACGGGATTCTAAGGACAACAAAATGTTTTATCCTACGAGTCTCAAATTATGGAAAACTAAGGAGGAAATTGAAGGAGTGGTGGACCTAGTTGTTGATAAGCTTTTCCGACTCGATGGATATGATAACCTTGGGGCTCTCGGAACTGGAAAAGTAGATTTTGTTTTGGAAACATTACCGTACCTCAAGGCGATTATGAGGGGACAACAAAGGAAAGCGGCCGAGAAGAGTTCATTTGGCATGAAATTGTTCGAGATTGCCGGTAGATCAGGCGGGGGGCTCATGCGAGATTTAGAGAAGGTTACTGTTTTGAAAGGCATCGGTGGGCCAAGCGATGATTTGCCTGATGAAGAACCAAGCGAAGCACTAGACGAACTAGAAGTTGCTGAAGAAGGAAGGACGGGGCTTATGACTTCCTCTCAGGAAATTGCCGATGGTAGGAATCAGAAGGATGAGGGAGCTACCGAACAATTGGACGCAGTGACGATCGAAAGCTTGATATTGTCTGATGACGATATTGTGGATGATTGGTAGGTATGTTGTGTAATGTACCCTGCTCGGGCTTATAAGCATTCAGGGCACTTCAATTCGCGCTCCCATCTTCATGCCCAGGGACTCTCCACCTGTGTTGGATTGTACTATATTCAAACTCAAGTACTGATATTAAGATTTAATTCGGATAGAGGTCGTATTTTTCATAGGGCGCTGCTGCCCACCATTTTATATAAATGCGGTCATCCATGAACAGGGCCTGCAAGGTAATGAGTGATAAATCATGATGCAGACTATGTAGAGTCTTATACGTTTTCCAACATATAGTGTAGATTTGGCGCTCCCCCTCCCCTTCCACCCCCGGGGGTTACCACATAATCCCCATAAGACTCTAGAAACTTGGAATAGCAGTAAACGTAAAGTATTTGATACAACAGCATTTATCGCATTCCATCTGGTATAGATAATATAAGATTTACGGGTTCGTTCGAAAGCTACCCAAAGCATCGTTGCAACATGGCAAATCATAACCCCAAACACAATTATAAGAAATCTTCCCCATTGCAACAACCACAACCATCCACAAGGATCTAGCTCGTAACCTCTTCACCCCGGATTGGAACAATGCCACAACGTTACTTGAAAATATGAAAATATTACTATTTCACTATTGGATAGGTGAGATACACATAAGATGATGATTATGGTTGCCATAAGCATTCCTTCGAAAGAAGCCTAACCAGTGTCGAAAATTCAAGAGTGAGCATGTAAGATTGTTCACGAATAGGTGGAATTGATAGTTTTCCCTTCGTTTGTCGATGGTGCCCACCGCACAATAGAAACTCGTAATTTTGGTGAAATAATAATTGATAAGAAAGCTAAGAGATCTGTGACCAAAGGCCACTCTCTTGGCACTAACTTCCGTGCGGCAGCATTTGTCGTCAGACAAAGGGATAGAAGTGCCTATATACATATTGTTGGGGTAATTAAGGCGGTTTTTAGGCCTAATATAATAATAACCACAGCATGAAAGCCTTAAGCTACCAATAGTTATGTGCGAGCTCTAACATTAACGTGTTGGGAGAAAAAAAATAGGAATTTGTGCGCGTGATATATCATGAAGGCGATAGCTTAGAACGAGTGATAGGCTATGTCTACGTCGGATTCGCTTATCTAATCAAAAGACATAAGTTTCACTGATTCATTTTTGCCTCGAAGTACTGAGTTATAAGTACAATACCATTTATAATCATCTCACTTGCAGGTTAGCACTTTCTCACTCATATCAACCCTTTATAATTACAAACCAAGGGCCCGTTCGGACAACCTTAGATTATTTCTTCGGATTATTGGACAGACTGGATTATCAGGTAGCGAAAATGATAATCATAGTACTCATAATAAGTGGATAATCTACATGTCCAGATAGCGTTGAAATAGCATTAGGCTCTCAGGATATCTGTGTTGTGTGGGAATAATTACCTCCGAAGGTGATAGTTTTCTTGGCGGATTATTAGGATAATCGGGAGTTCCGAATGTTGGATTATTCAATTACACGAACAGCATAGATTATTGTGATAATCCAAAAAGTCGATAATCCGTCAGATTATCGCCAATAATCTAGATTATTGGGTTGTCCGAACGGGCCCCAAATTTGCAGCCGTTCGCACATTTGTAAACGGAGGGACCCTACTTTGAGTTCAGTGCAGGCTTGGCGTCTTGGCATCAATTGTGGCCATGTATCCATGGAATACCACGTTTGCCTAATTCTGGGCGGGTCTTACCGAGCCATGAGATTCTAAAATGCGGGAAGTGATTTCACGTAGTGGATTGGGCATTAGGAATTCTATTACAGGATAAAGAAAAGGTGGTGTACATACGTCTAGCCAAGTAGTAACAGAAGTACGTTAAGCTTTATTTAGGGGCGCTTAAGTAGCTTAGGAACAAGATCAATATCGATCTATCACAACATTTTCTTGTGACTCTTTCCTGGTCATGAGGTCCACCACGGTACACCCTTCATGTAGATCCTATACTCAAACTGTCTATTTGTCTATTTTTACCAACCAGATCGCAAAAGTAAAGAATCTCGGTGATCTTTCCTAAAACTCTAGTAGACGCCAAGAAATGTCTCAGTGGCGTTAATTCCATTAATATCATTGCCAGCATCCAAGTTCGCGGCATATCTTGGAAGACACAGTGAAAGAACATTTGCCCTCTAGATATCCTTTGTTGTGCGGTTTGAAGTTGTTTTCCTGGATCTATGGCTGGGGATATTAATGTCGAGTGATACTTGATGATCACGCTACGACTATCCGGGTGTTACCCTCTCTAATGAGCTCCAATGGTCCGGCGACGGCGCTGCCCACTATATAACACGGGAATTAATTTTTATGTGGGATTTAAGAGTGATAACAGGATCTGTTAGTAAGGCCACAAAAAATTTGTTTCATTTTTTTGGGGGAAGCATTTTCGCCAGACGAAGGGATAAGATGAACAATCATAAGCGACCTCCACAATAGATAAACTGCTAGCTCAATAGACAAATTTGTAAAAGCAGCCCAACAAAACCCATCAAGAGCATGTCGCTTTAAAATGAAAGAAAAAAAAACACGTTAGAAACTACTCTTTCCCACCAGCCATTCTCTATGGCCCCCACGGTGTAAATCCCTCGCGGGTTTGGAGTGGCTTAGCAATGCATGTTTGGTGGTACAAATGATGTTTCGCACTGGTGACTGATCTATATAGACTTAAGAGCGTGTCTAGTGTCAACATATCTGTATATCTACATGTAGTAAAGAATCAACTAACTCGAGCCGATGGCATCAAGGTTACATCGTATCTACTATGTGTAATCAACTACCGCAATTATAACTACCATCGCTAGATTATACCAAAATCAAGGAAATCGTGAATTTGGTCCGCGCGCGTTACTGGAATAAAACAGATCACGTTTCAGGACGTTAATAATACATCCTACCTAAAAACCTATGTGACATGGCAGCTGTTTTGGATAATGGGCTTCTTGAATGTCATAACTTGTACGTACTAAAGGGGAACCGCGTAGGCGCACATAATTATATATAGCTTAGACCAATACAGTCCTGGGTGTTACAATTATACGTTGTTACAAGTCATTGCCGGCCTTCGGCCGGAGAGGATAATCCATCATATATTATATTTTAGTGCAATTCTGTATGAGAATATAGCCCCAGGAAGGGTATACTCAAAACTTTATATTAATGTAGAAGGATCTAATTAAAAATTAGCAAAAATAACCTTTTGATTTTTGATTTTACCTGCATTCATGTTGGTCTATTAATACTTTATCAGCAAAAAATCATTTGCTAATTCTAACGGCTCGGTTCTGGATTCAGGAACAACTTTGAATACGGCAGAGTTGGGACAGGTTTGAGGATGGAATTGGAGGAGGATCTCCGAGCAGAAGATAATACCAAAATCTACTAATTATGGAGAGAAACAAAAATCAATTTTATCACGATTATATCGTAGTACCGAGAAAAGCAAATATTGATAATGTGATACTATCATCATGATATCAAGTAGAGCAAAAATCAATACTCTGTAATATCATATAAAGAAAAACAAAAATTAATATAATTATAACTATATTGCTCTCAAAAAGGAAAATCAATTCAATCATGATTATATTGTCACAAAAAAATCAAAAATCAATACTATTATATTCTACCGAGAAAATCAAAAACCAATACCATGATATCACCTCAAGAAAAGCAAAAAAAATCAATGTGTTAGCAACTCAAAAAAAAGCAATCTTAATCACCAACTTCTCAAACCTAGCCAATCAAAATCTTAAATAACACATTGCATATCGGTATATCTATATACTTATAAGATATCAATTGACCAAGCCAGCTGCAGGTCTAGATCGAGGGTCAACGCTCTAGCTCTATGCCTATTTATTCTTGAGATCAACATTATAGAATGGAGAAAGCAGGAATATCATATATCTAACGTATTTACGGAATGAGACACTACTACTACATGCATATGTACTATCCATATATATATATCTCTGCATCACTACACCCTATCGACGGTATAGCCCCAGACGTAGTTCACGATACAACCTTTACCCTCGCTGTGAATCCCGAGACTGGGAGAATGTGCCAAATTTTATTGCCAGTTTCCTTCGGCATAATGAAAACCTCACATATATCGCTAAATCGTATCAAATGCCCAGAACTCGCCAGCACCTACATAGGCAGTCATGGTTCTAGTTCTGCACATTCACGCCCAGGTACAATCAATTTAGCAATGTCTCATCTTATCTACATAATCAAAATATTCTACATTGACTCACCTAGCGCGCTCCATAATTCGATTTGATTCGATTTGGACCCCTAAATACAATCCAATCCAATCATCAGTTGCCCGCCTTAACTTAAAACCATGATTTGATTTGACATTAATCGCAGGAAATCGGTTCGGGTCCAAATCATACTCCCTGCACTGGAAGGACTCTTTTACTAGATTAAGATCCACATATTTCCGGACACTAGCTTTTCCTTGAAAGGTATCTCAGACCGATACATGATTTTGTGTATGCTTAGAGTCAATTTGGTAATCAGTTTCACTGGGCTAAGTCGAAACCATGATTCGATTGAGGGTTGAATCAAATCCAAATCAAATCAGCGAATCCATTTTCGAACCATGATTTGTAAATCATGGTGAACATTATACTCACCATATATTCATAATAAGGTTAACGAGTTTCTTTCCTGGTTACTTAGGTGTGAGGGTTGTGTGATATGGCACGTATCTATAACACATAAACTATTAGGAAAATTATCCATTCGGTGCCCCTTAAGGAAGTAATCTTAGATAAAGTGCTGCACATTAAGTTATCACTCATGAAACTCTTATTTTTGTTTGTTGTCTTGTGTGATTATTTTGACTTTTGTGGTGCATCCCTGACCAATACATGTATACAGCTGCGAGCGTCGTTACTGTTTTCATTATAGCTTCATGAAGCCACCTGGATTCGGACTTCTTGAAAT